GCCACCTTAGGTGTACGTGGCTGGCGCCTTAGCCGGTTGAGCTATAGGTGCCGAGCCGGCCACTGCCTTTTTATCCCACAGTGCCACCTTTTCTTTCTGTCTTCCTTCTGTCTGTCCTCCTACCCTCTGCCTTTTCTTCACTCTGTTTCTAACCTTTTTAGGCCAACTCAGTTTCCTCATCCCCTGGACTTCACTTATACCTATTTGTCTGTGTTGCTTGGCCCGTGATTGGCCTTAAATCCTGCCTCTGGTGCTCCCCAGACTCCATGGACTCGTGTTTCTCAGGAAGAGGCTTGTGAAGGAGGTCTGCTTGATCGTTCCATTTTCACCACTGTCCTGGAGACCTTCACACTTGAACTCTGAGAGTAGCTACCAAGAGTGGAGCCTGGATCCAGACTGGGATCCTGAAAGCCTTCCTTCTGTCCCCACAGGTAGAGCTCTCAGGGCCCTGCCACAAGCCTTTCCTGCAGCCCTAGCACTCCTGCCTGCACTTTTGGCTGTGTTCTCCTTGGCCCTGCTTGCTGGTCTCACTGTGCTTCTTTCCCACGTTGGGACTTAGTTCAGCCTCTCCAGTTGGTTCCCAGGGGTAGCTTTCTCATAGCCTTGCTGGCAGCCGCCTGGGTATCCTGACCCCTGGGCCTCTCTGCCCTCCTGCCTGGGCTTTCTACCTTGAGTAGAGATCTGCCTGGTTCTAAGCTCTGGGATGGGGCCAAAGCCTTGGAGCATCTGCCTTAGCCCTGAACCTGTTCCAGAGGGTCTCTGTTTTCCTGTTTCATCCTTACTTCCAGCTCCCTTCATCTTATAGCTAGCTTAACTGCCTCCTAAGTTCCTGAAGAGGGTCTCCAAGAAGTAGCTGCTAGTATTATTTAGCCCCAGTGCGTGCGTGCGTGCGTGCGTGCGGAGCAGGCCCATGAATTGCATCCTGGAGAGGACAATGAATTCCTCAAGGCCCCATCTAGTAAAGAAGCTAGTGAAGAAGTGGCAGTGCTGGGATTCAAACCCAGTTTGATTTCAAAGCCTGATACCTTTTCCTAATTCTAGAATTGTTGGTCATAGATACTTCTACTTCTTTGCTCTGTCATCTGTGCCCTCTATGTCACTAGTTCCCCTCTTCGTGCCTTTGACCCTGATTTGAGAATGAGGTCTTTTTCTTTCAATATACTCCAGAACCCAAGCCCTCCCTTAGTCACATCCTGCCCTTGACTCTTCACAAATTTGAGTGTGCTTCTTCTGTCCTCAAAGTGCTTTCCTTCAACCCTTTACCCCACTAAACTTTTGGAAAGCCAAGCACATAGAAGCCTAACTGTTCCTGGGATGGTGTGGTTTTGTTACAGTGAGGAGTGAGGGACAGGACATGGGCCATTTTGGTAAGAATGAGGACTTTACTCAGCTAGAGTGGTGGTTTCTGAGAAGCCACCCTAAGTCTCCCCATATCAGCAAAGTGCCCCTCAGTTGTGGCTTTTGACTTGAGTTATATGAAGTTTTCTGTCTAAGATTTCTTACTCTGACTGGATTCTAATTCTGGAGGTTTACCTCTGGCCATAAGCCTTGGCTTCCTGTGCCACTGGAACTAAGTTCTTTTCCATTGTCTCTCACCTCCTGTATGGTACCCACTTCCTCAGACCCTCTGCTCTACATCAACATTCTAGAAAGATCTGATCAACTCATTCAAGCCAAAGTTTAAATAGCTGGGGCTAGGGCGCCACCACATACACCAGAGGTGGCAGGTTCAAACTCAGCCCGGACCTGCCAAAACAACAATGACAACTACAACCAAAAAATAGCTGGGCATTGTGGTGAGTGCCTGTAGTCCCAGCTACTTGGGAGGCTGAGGCAAGAGAATTGCTTAAGCCCAAGAGTTTTAGATGGCTGTGAGCTGTGATGCTACAGCACTCTACAGAGGGTGACATTGTGAGACTGTCTCAAAAAAAAAGTTTAAATAGCTGGATATGGGTCAACGAGATAACAGATACAGCCTTTTGTGTGTTAATGTGGCATTTTGGACAGCACATGGGTAGGTCCTTGTGGCCCTCACACCAGTTCTGTTCAGAAGAAACAAGGCAAAGGGCACCCCCATATGTAGAATTTGCTACTGTTTTTCTGTGTTTCTCATGCCCTTTTTCAACTCTCCTCCCTGGTCTATAAAAGAAGTCACTGCCACAATTGCAAGATAGAGAAATAATCATTTTATCGTGCATCAGACTATGTCATGGAGATGTCACAATGGCCTTAAGAGCCTAGTATAAAAATTGGAGGATGAGGTGGGTGGAGGTGGCGGAGTCGGGTAGCAGCATCCAGAGCTGGGGCGTGACCAGCCCTAAGCCTCAGAGGACATCACCTTTCTCATGGGACAAGACTAGTGGAGAGAGATTTGGACAAGATGTGGACCCTCTGGCTAGTTTCCAGATTGTGTGGGACCAAGAGTAGGTGGGCTATGTCAGGCCTCTGTCCATTCCTCTTTTTCATTTGGTATAGTTTGGAGCTGGGCCCGTCCGAGGAAGCTACTTTTTCCTGTGGCTGTGGATTCCTTTGGCATTTGTGGCACTGGTGGTGGTAGAAATCTGGTTTCTAGTGGTTCCTAGAATCTGGTCTGAGTGACCTAGGTCACAACCTTCAGAACCCTGGGGGGATTGGCTCTGAGGAGCTCCTTGGCAGGCAGAAAGGTGAAGCCTTTGAATGGGCACAGACTACTTCTTCCTGGGAAAGTGCCTATCATATCAGCCTGGACCCACTATTCCCTGGGGTGGGGGAAAGTGGCTCAGCTCTGTCTCTGGAGGGAAGGGGTCCTTTCTATTCCCTTTGTCTGGGTTTGGCCTCTGCTAGTAGGGATAATACTTTGCCTGGGCTGAGTGGACAGCTGAACAGAGCCTGCCACAGAGGGGCAGTGGGCCCAGCTCGGCAGCTGTGGTGACACTCAGCTCAGCTTTCCTCCACATCAGAGCTGGCCTGTTCCAAGATTATCCCCACATTTGAATGTGGCTCCAGCATCTCACTTGGTTTTGGCCTCCTCCTTGGATAGACATTGAGCAGAGATCCTGGCTGGGGGCCAAGGGTGTTGACCTTCTCTTCGTGAGGGAGCCAGGACCAGGAGGCACAAACCACAAGGCCCAGAGAAGAGTTCCTGCAGGCTGGATCACATAATCTGAAGCTGGGATTTTTGAATTCCGCCACTGATTCAGGAGCAAAGAGCTTTGGGTCTGGGAACCCCAAATAGGGATCCTTGAGCTCAAGACCTCAAACCTGGAACTTTGTGCTCGGGCAGCCTGGAAACTGGGTTGATGAGTTGGGAGCCCAGCTGAATGGCATTTGGGCCAGGGCCAGGTCTTGCTGTGTGTGGGTCCTGCTCACAGGTCTGGGCTGGACTGCTGATGGTTTGGCTGTTACATACCATCAGGCTCAAGTTCTTGGTGCTGTCTCTCGGGGAATCTGCTGCAATTCCCATGGTACCTGGGACCTCAGACCTGTATATCTTGAAGGTGGGGCCACCTATGCTACTGAGACTGCACTAGCCAGCCATCCAGTGAGCCACCTCTTTCCTTAGAGCCTGTGCCCTCAGGAGTCTGTGGTGTCTGGCTCCTGGGATTCCTTGCTGCTTTTCCTCCAGCCAGAGCTTCCTCCACAAGGCTCCAACTCAAGAGACCTACAGTTTCTGTGCCTTTAGGTACAATGTGCAAGAGAGGAGCCTTGGCTGGAGGGCTTTTCCGGACCTGTGTCCCCTTCCAGCTCACTGTGGGGCCTGGTGAGCATTGCTCTGCTACAAAACGGGCACAAGCGGTCTCATTTTGTCTGGGTCTCAAGACTGCAGTGACCATCAAATGAGATCTAGCTGCCCCTGTGAGGGCCTGTGCAGGGCCTAGAACATAGTATTTGCTCAATAACTTGTGTTATTAAATAAGATAAGGGAAGGGACTTTATTGCACAGCCTTTTCCTCCCCGTGTGTATGATTTTCATTTTCAGTTTCACAGAGGAGCAGCACTGTGAGGAGGCGACTAGAGGTGTGACTGCAAAGACCTAGGTGGGACCTCTGATAGAGGATGGCATCCTACACTCCTGCCTAGAAGGGTCTGGGAGTGGGGAAGCTTCTGCTCCCTGGGGATAGGCCGGGGCAGGCTGGGCTCAGGGGTGGGACTGTATACTTTTCTTGCCCTCACCTTGCCTGCCCTTTCCTGCCTAGTAAGACCCAAAGAGATTGAACATCTAGCTGCCTGTGTGAGGGCTGAAATGAACCCTTTGCCTTTTGCCAGTATCTGCCCGTTCCCTTTTCAGGGACTTTGAGACACAAGGCTACCAGGCCCAAGCTGCCAGGAGTCCATGTGTGCATGCATGGTTGTGTGTGTGTATGTTGGGGAGATGTGAACTATTTTCCAGGGAGTATGATTTCCATCAGGAGATGGCATCTGTATTCCCTTGCCATAGGGCCACTTCTAATACTCCTTGTTACCCACCTTAAGTCTGCAAGTAGAAAAGTTGACACAGATAACATCTGAGTGGTCAGTGGCAGCCCCAAGTGGACAGCCAGAGGCATGAGCAAGGTCCCTTTGGTCAGTGGCAGTCACAAAGGCCCAGGCTTTGGGGAGGCCCTGGTTGGTGCCCTTGGGATTGCCTACCTGGTTTTGGCAATAAATAAAATGAAGGACCCAAAAACCAAACCAAAACAAAAAATACAACCAGTATCTCTTGGGTAGGTGGTGGGAGACTGTTTAAATTATTGGCCTTCCCTGGGCCGCGCGTGAGGTGGCTGCTGGGCGCAGGGCTGGCGGGCAGTCATCGGCATGTGTGCAGCTCCACGAGCCGCTGGCACTGCCGGCACTTGACGAAGCAACACCAGTGGAACTTGCAGCTGCAGCGTTCAGCCAGCTCTACTTGCGCTGTGTGGAAGCCACGGCCACAGCACAGCAGCTCACAGCCATCGATGGCCTTGGACGTCTTGTTGCACGTGCGGCCCCTTGTGCCCAGTACACCGCTGCGCATGTCCTGCTCGCAGAAGTCTGGGCTGGGCTCCAAGTATACCAGGTCCTCATCCGTGTGTGGCTTGAACTGTGCGTTGCGAGGCACCAGTGCCCTGGAGGAGCCCACACGGCGTGGCTCCACCTCGGTGGCGCCATCGAACTTCTCCTTCAGTGCGTGGCCCACCTGGCGGAAGGGTGGCACGGCTCGCCAGCACGTCTTTACCTCACAGGAGCCCGACACCCCGTGGCACTTGCACTCCACCCGCATGTGTGTCAGGATGGCCTGTGGGAGAGGGCAGTGGAGAGGCGCTGTGAGGAGATGGCAGTGGCAGGTGCAGAGGGGCCTGGTGGCCAATGGGGAGCATGGACTAGGGGCCCACAAGTCAGGGCCCTGGACCAACGCAGCAGAGTTAGATGTATCCATATGCTTTTTCTGTATTAAGTACCTACTATATGCTGCCAGGCTGGGCTGGTAAGAAATTTTGAGGACAAGATACTATCCCTGTGCTTGGGGTACTCGTAGTTCTTGGTGGAGAGACAGTAAGGGTAGTGTGCTATGAAATAGAGACAGATGGGGAGGACACTGCACTAAATCTTGGCAGGAGCCTTGGGAGTAGGCATCAAGAAAGCAGGTGGTGGCCAGGAGTGGTGGCTCACACCTATAATCCTAGCATTCTGGGAGGTGGATTGCCCTGAGCTCAGAGGTTCAAGACCAGCCAGAGCCAGAGTGAGACCCTGTCTCTACAAAAAAAAAAAAGCTGGGTATTGAGGCTGAGGCAAGAGAATTGCTTAAGCCCAAGAGTTGGAGGTTGCTGTGAGCTGTGATGCCACAGCACTCTACCGAGGGCCACAAAGTGAGACAAAAATAAAAAGAATAAAAGGAAATTAAAAAATAAATATATAAAAAAGCAGGCAGTGTCGGTGGCACGTGTTCTCTCTGGTGACACAGAAGAGGTCAAATCCTAGCTTTGCTACTCCCTTGGGGGTGTGTGTGTGTGACAGGGATGGACACACATATGTACATATGTATGTATGTATGGGGTCACTTACACTCTTCTATAATACCTGCTCACCTGTCTGCCCCCCTCAACCCCCACCACTCAGCCTGTCCTCTGCCCCACTGGCCTACAGAAGGTGCCTGGTACTGGTGAGAGCCTGAACAAATTATTTTCCAGGTGGCTGTGTGGGGGGTGTGTGTGTCATGGGGCCCTGTTGTACCATCACTGCACGTGGTGGGGGTACACATTACCTTTCTGCCAGCCTCATTGTTGTGGAGGTTCATGAGGGCCCGGCTGGATGAGGCCCCCTTGCTTCGCTCCCGCACGTCTACAAAGGACTGTGAGAAGGCCACACCATAGGCGATGTTGTCCGAGCATCCTGACCACTGGAAGCCTGGGGAGTGGTGGGCACAGGGAGTCATGGGTGAGTGAGGGCCAGGGCCCCAGCCCTGCCCTCCCACTCTGGCCCCACCCCCACACCTACCCTGTGGGCTGACCCCATGTACTGTCCGGTCACAGCCACACTTGTCCAGTTCCCCACTGCTGCATGCCCGTGTCACCGCAAAGGCCACACCTGCTGAAGAGATGGCGTACACGAAGGCCGCCTCCCGAGTCCCTGTGGGAGGCAGAGGGAGGGCAGGACTGGGTCCCAGGGTTCCTCCCTGTGCCCTCCTTTGTAGGGGGAGGGGCAAATGGGGCCTCTTGTGCTGGAGGCCATGTGGGGAGTAGGAGAGGTGGCAGTGGCATGCCAGGCACTAGCTAAATCCGCTTCCTCTGCACCGGGCGCTCTCAGGCTCTTCGCATATGCCAGTCATTTCATCCTCACAGCCACCCCATGAGGCCAGTGCTGTCGTTATCCCCATTTTACAGAGAGGGTAGGCAGCTTGTCCAAGGTCATACAGGACGTGTTGAGATAGCAGTCTGGCTTCAGAGCCTGTGCTCCCAGCTCCTGTGGGATACTGTTCTCACACCTGCTCCAGGTTAGTGACATTCTCGTCATTTCACTGAAGGCCAAACAGGCTTGAAGAGGTGAATTGATGGGCTGAGACTGCAGAGGTAGGGAGTGGCAGAGCTGGACTGTACACCTGGGTCTGGTTTCCTCTTTTGGCCTGGTCCCCCGCTGGCCCCACTGGGCTCTTAGGAACCCCCCCACCCGCCCCCACCTCACGATCCTGCCCTGGCCTTTCCTCGGGAGCTGGGCTCATTTTGAAAGCATCTTGTTTCCTTATAACTGAGTAGAATGTAATGACAGCTCCTGCTACTTAACCCCTACAATGGCTGATGACTGGACACCTATTCTGCAGAAGCCTTTCACAGATGGTGAAATGCAGGGTCAGAGGGGAAGGGATTTGATCCCAGTCTTCTGGCCAGGAAGCGACAGAACTGGGCCTTAAGCACAGGCCTGTCCGCCTCTGCCCGGGCCTTCTCAGTGATTCTATTTTGGTGGAGCACGTCCCCTGCCTGAATGATGTTTTTATCCTCCCAGAAACTGTGCCTCGGGGGTGTAGCTGTTGTGGACTCTCTTTCTGGGGGTAAGAGGGAGTGTGTGTGAGTGGGAGTGCGCATCTAGTTGGGTGTGTGACCGGACAGCAGGCCCTGCTCCTCTCTCGGCCCTGTGAGGGCCTCTGTGTGCTGTGACTGTCCTTCTGTCTCTTGCCGGAGTGTCTGTGTCCGCAGGAGTGGAGGGGGCAGGCTTTGGCCCTGTGGTTGGCAATTACCTCTGCGACACCCAGGCCTGTGCTCTTGGCTGCCCTGGGGAGCAGTCACCGTGGTCAAATGGAAACAATCACCTCCTGTGTGCCCATGTCTGTGGACAGAGGCAGCAGAAGCCGAGCACTGGGGTGGAAGGCAGCTCAGTCTCAACCACTCAGGACTCCCTGTTCTTGGTTCGGCCTTTGAGCTGGGGATACTGCCTGTCACCCACTCTCTACTGCCCACTCATTGCCCCTGCTTGGCCAATTTGGGCCAGCGTTGGGGGGATTGGCTGGAGCAATGGAGCCTCAACAGCCTGAGATGGAATCTTCTCCAAGTTAATCGAGGTTAATAGCAGGATCATATTGGTTGGTTTTATGCTGTGGCCGCCCAAAGAAAGACAACTTCAGTTTCTGGTATTTCTGGTATTTCCAGGCCTGAACCAGCACAAATCTTTGCCCCAAAGACCAAGGGGGAAGGGAAGTCAAAGCAGGAGATAGGGCTGATGGGACTGGGGGGATAGCCTCAGCTTAGGCCTGGTGTGGTTCCCTCCTCTGCTGTTCTGGGTTCTCAGACTGCCCTGGCTCAAACTCAGCTCCAGGCTGATACCCCCTGAATACTGGGGGCCCATTGAGGGCAGAGCCCTCAGGGAGGTCTATACCTCATTCTCTAAGCCAACATCATCCACCAAGACTCAGGGGAACAGGACATCAGTTCTCTCAGTTTAGAAGTGAGCCTGAAGGAAGAGATTCTGGAAGGACGATAATAACTAGAGCTAAAGCTCATATGGAGCACTTACTATATGTTGGGCACTGCTCAAGCACTTTACATAGATTAATTTATATACGTGTCACAGTAACCCTATGAGGTAGATACTTTTAATCCTCCTTTGATAAGTGAGGAAACTAAGGCACTGAGTAGTGAAACAACTTATCCAACAATACCCAGCCAGGAAGTGGTGGAGCCAAGAGTTTGAACTTAAGCATTCTGGCACCAGAGTTCTCAGCTTGGATGCTATTCGCCTCACAGAGTCCCTAAGCCCTGGGCACACACATGGCAGGTGACCTCCCACCTCCCATGACAAGCTAAGAAGGGCATCCTTAGGTTTACCCCAAATATCACAAACCCAGTTCTTCCTCCCTCCTTGCCTCCCTCCCTTCCTTCTTTTTCTTCTTGTTTTTTTCTTTCGAGACAAAGTCTCACTCTGTTGCTCAGGCTGGAGTACAGTGGTGTCATCACAGCTTACTGTAACCTTAATTTCCTGGGCTCAAGTGATCTTTTTGCCTCAACCTCCCAAGTAGCTGGTACTATAGTTGTGCACATGCCTGGCTAATTTTTCTTATTTTTTTCATAGATGGGGTTTTGCTATATTGCCCTGGCTAGTCTCAAAGTCCTGGGCTCAAATGATTCTCCTGCCTCTGCCTCCCCAGTAGATGGAACTATAGGCAAACCCCATTACACTTGGCTAATTCTTAAACATTTTTATTTTTATTTATTTATTTTTTTTTTTGTAGAGGCTGGGCATGGTGGTTCACAGTTGTAATCCTCAGTCAGCACTTTGGGAAGCTGAGGCAGGAGGATTCTTTTTTTATTTTTTATTTTATTTTATTATTTTTTTTTTGAGACAGAGCCTCAAGCTGTCACCTTGGGTAGAGAACCATGGCATCACAGCTCACAGCAACCTCCAACTCCTGGGCTCAAGCGATTCTCCTGCCTCCACCTCCCAAGTAGCTGGGACTACAGGCGCCCGCCACAATACCCGGCTATTTTTTGGTTGCAGCCGTCATTGTTGTTTGGCGGGTCTGGGCTGGATTCGAACCCGCCAGCTCAGGCGTATGTGGCTGGCGCCTTAGCCGGTTGAACCATAGGCGCCAAGCCGAGGCAGGATGATTCTTTGAGACCAGCTCAAGCAAGAGCAAAATGCCATCATCTTAAAAAAAAAATTATAGAGATGAGTTCTCACCATGTTTTCTAGGCTGGTTTTAAACTCCTGGCCTCAAGTGATCTTCCTACCTTGGCCTCCCAAAGTGCTAGGATTACAGGCATGGGCCACCCCACCTGTTCTCTGAGGGTTCTTAAATGGGGGATGGCAGTTCACCTCAACACAGGAGGTGATGTCCAGCACAGGAGGCTCTAGAGGTCCTGGAAGGTGTAGGCAAGCCTCTGTGCCCCTAAAGCTGATGGCAGCAGTTCCTTCAGCCTTGTCTGACTGACCCTGGGTTCCAGCCCTTTGACTATAGTGCTTTGGCCTTCCTGGCTGCTCTCTTCTGTCCAGGTGCCCAGGCTGGAGTTCTGCTTGCTTGTGGAGGACCTAGCAGGGCCTGCTGTCCCTAGGGGCCACCTAGCCAATCAGAAAGAACTATGGTGTGCCTGCGGGTGTTGCCACAGAGCTTCCCACAAGGGGTGGAAGCAGTTCCCTGGCCAGTAGCTTTGCCTGTTCCAGCAGCAGGAGGAAGGCAGTCCTCATCTTATCTTTTCTAAGGTACCAGCAACCCTCTTCCTTTTCCATACCCAGTTCCTTTCTTCCTGCTGTTTCTTCCCAGAGCAGCCTTGTTCTCTGACTCCACAGGTCTAAATCTTGTATGCTCTCTGAGTCTGGCCTCAATGCCGTCTTTCCCAAGATTGCCTGAGGTTGAGGATTCAGAGTTGCCCTATAGATCCAATAACAGCTACTTCTTTTGAGGGCCTACTGTGTGTGCCTTCCTGTAAGTTGTCTAAGGCTCACAACAACCACAGCAATCAGGTGCACACAGTTCTGTTCTATAGAAGAAAAAGTCAGGCTCAGTGGCTTGCCCCAGGGCCCCCAGGCAGTAAGTGGCCAAGAAAAGACTGGAGTTGAGGCCTGTCTGACTCAAGACCCAGCCCATGTTCTTCACAGTATATCATTTGTGATGGCTGTCCCAGATGGAGGAATGGAGGACATTTGAGCAGGAAGGAGTGTTTCTGGGGTGGGTGTCCTGGTAGAGGTGGGGCAGGGCAGGCATTGTCTCCCAGCAAAACCTTACCCCCTCCTCCAGCCTCTTAGCCCCAGCCTGCCTATCCGGTTTCCTTTACTCACTCTCGGATCTGCAAAAGCCTGCCTTTCTTTCAAACCACCTCCAAGAAACCCCTTTGGGTTTGAGAGACAGTATAGTAAAGAATAAAGGCTTCGGAGCCAGACAAGGTTGTGGTAGATTCTCACTAGTCCTGTGACTTTCCTCTCCAAGTCTTGTGCCCCTGACTCTAACACGAGGATAGCAATGCTGCCTTGGCAGGCCAGCCCTCATACCTCTCCACATCCCCTCCCACTGCCTCAGCCCTGTGGGGCCACTAAGCCCATCAAAGGCATCATCTCCCTGAATCCTCACAGAGAGGCGGGTCCTGGGATTATTCCCATTTTATAGAAAGAAGTACATAGTTAGGGCATGGGGCTTGCCCCAGGTCTCATAGCCAGGAATGCTCAAGATCTGGCAGTCACTACTCTGCTTGCTGAACCTCCTTTCTCACCTGTAAGCCGGGAGGACAGCATTGCAAACTCACAGAGTTGATGTGTGGATGACCTCAGGTGAGACAGCACACCAGAGGACCTTAGCAAATGGGGCCTCCTTTCTTCTCTTAGGTATGGCCTAGATGCCAGGTGAGACCTGTTAGCTCTGCCCTCCTCCGTGCCTGAGGCCAGGACCCCAGCAGTATAGCTCATGCATGTAGGCAGTGGCTCAGCCCCCGAGTCCTGAGAGCTGGGGAATGTAGGTGAGGCCTGCCTGCTTAGGGCACTGCACATGACAGCAACTGGTGACACTGGGTGCCCTTCTTAGACCTGAGTCTACAGGAAGTGCTTCTCACACATTGTCACTGAATCTTTATGACAACCCCAGAGGTGAGCATGTGTGTGGTCTTGCTGACAGGAGAAGACACTGAATGAAGCACAGAGGTGTGAAGTCACTTACCCAAAGTCATCTTGGCCCCTATCCGTCCCCCCCACCCCCATTTGCCTCATTAGCAAACCCCTGGACTTTGTGAGCGCAGTGCTGCTCTCAACCTTGGGGTGGACAAGTGCCTTTTCCTCTGGGTCAGTGCAGTCCAAATAAGTTTTCCAAGAGGGTTTTTACTGAGGAAGAAAGCCAAAAATACAAAGATGAGGAGTTAGATGAGCAGGAAGTGCTCAGACTCTTTCTGCACACTTGACCGAGATCTGCCAGTGTGACTGGCCTGGTCTCAGGGTCCCTTGACTTAGCTCCAGGGGACAGGACACTTGACACAGCACTCAGACTTTAGCCCAGAGCAGGTTCCACCCAGGCCTGGTAGGATTCTCAGTGTCCCCCCAGAACTTGCTCAGGCAGGACTAGGTCCCCTCCTTGGTTGCTGCCCCACAGGTGAGGAAGGCACTTGTCAACTGGTCCAGAGGACCCACGCTGGCTTCAGGCCAGTATTGCCCCTTTGAGTCCTTGCCCTTGACCTGCTTTCTGTCATTCATGACATCACTGACTGTCTCCTCTATGCAGTTTTCACCTTGTGCCAGGAAATAGGTAAATGAGCCCTCACTCTTGTTGAAGAGCTCAACACATAGTGATGGGGGAGTGGGGTCAGGTGGGCTCAATCTAAAAGGTGCGACAGAAACAATATGAACACAAATGATTTTGGGGAAAATGTGTGTGTGTATCTCTATCTCTGTATAAATGGAGAATAATAGGGCAACAGGTGGAAATGGTTGGTGAATCTAGTAAAGTATAGGAATTCCTTGTACAATTTTTGCAACTTTTCCATAAGTTTGAGATTATATCAAAACAAAAAATGGGAAAACAAAGGAAACCCCCCTAGTGAGAACAAAGCTCTTTAGAGCTCAAAGGGAAGAGCTGGGAAGGCTTCAAGGAGGTGGGGACTGCTGAGCGTGAGAAGGGGATTGAGTATTTGGGATCGAGGAAATGCAACAGTGGGGCTGTGTGTGTGTGAGAGAGAGAGAGAGAGACAGAGAGAGAGAGAGAGACAGACCGACCTGGTATATGAAATCTTAACTGGTCCAGCCACCAATCCATCCAAAGCGCACTCTCTGAACCCCCACTGTGTACAAGGGCTTCCCAAGCTCAACATCTGCTATTTGGGGCTGTTCCCAGGGCCCCATCCACCAGGCAGTCCTGGGCCCTCAGTAGTGGCACCATCATCTAGGAGATCCTCTACTACCAGGCTGCTCGCTGAGTCTCTGCTTTTTTTCTAGCAATGCCAAGCATGACCATGCCTTTTTGGCCCCTGCCAGCTCCCAGGAGAATGGTTTCCAAATTTCTATCACAGTTGGTTTCCAACAATATCCAAATGGTTTGCCACAAGCTGAGCACCGTCCAGGACCTGGCCTTCCAGGACCATAGGTGCCAAGACAAAGGTTGGCCCCAGCAACCCCTTTCTGCTGCCCGATCAAGCCCAAGGACCCTGTTGACTGTTGGTGGCTCAGAAGTGTCAGTTTCATGCTCAGAAAGTAGGAAAAGAGGCAGCTGATTTAGGGCACTTCCATGAGGGTAGAGGCTTGGCTTATGACCTCTCAAGAAGCCTTCTTGTTCCATAGGACACTTCCTGTGCCCTGGGTCATCTTCCTTGGGCTTAATATCTTCTCATGTTCCTGGTCTCAGCTGAGGGCTTGCCTCCTCAGGAAAGACTTCACTGAGCACCCAGTCCTTGCCAGGGGAGTGCCTGCCTTGTGTTCCCACAGACACTCCTGGCCCCTTCATCACAGTGTTTCCTCATTGTGGATAAGAGCAGGATTGGCTGGGCTCAAGTCCTAGCTTTGTCACTTTCTAGTTCTGTGACCTTGGGCAAATTACATAACCTTTATGTGCCTCGGTTTCTTCCTTTGCAGTATAGAGGCCTATCATAAAGGGCCTGATCCATTCCCTTAACACAGTGTCTGGCCCATGGTTAGTGACAGGTATGCAAGCCACCACTCCTACTGTGTTGTGGTTGTTTATCTGTCTTCCATCTAGACACTGAGCCCAACAGGAGAGGAGCTGGGTGCTGTTCTTTCCTGAATCTCAGGGCTGGCCATGCAGGAGGTGCTCAGTGTGGCCAGTCAGGTGTACAAGGGAGCAAGGTAGGCTCGAGTGCCTGAGGGTGAGTGCTAAGGTGGAAGGAGCACCAGGCTGGGGGGCTGGGCCCAGGTCTGAATCTTGACTCTGCTTCTCCCCCGCTGAGGAGCCTTGGGCAACTCAGCCCCTGCCCCCTGCCCAAGCCTCAGTTTCTTCCTTGTCATAGGAGGATGGTGGCTCCTGCCCATATCCCATGAAACCAGCACTGACAACACTGCACACTTACGAGTGCTGCACAAGTGGACGGCAGCGTCCCCTCTTCTACTGTCCATCCTTCCCAGACTCGCCTCCTGCCCAGATGGGCCCCCTCTTGGTACTCTACACTCTTCACATCCTCGCTTAAAGCCCTGCACTGTTTGTGCTTCAGAAATCTCTTAGAATAGTTGGGCCACTCATGAGCATCTTATTTCCCTGGCATAGGCTCCTCCCACACAGCCCCTGCAGGCCTGTCCCTCACCTTGTGTCACCACTTTGCCGAAGACAGGCAGGGAGTCGAGTGTGGAGCAGTTCCAGCGCCGGTTCCGGAACTGGTACTGGCATTCCTCGATGGCGAGCTGGGCCCCACGGCGCACAGAGTCCATGACCTCCAGGTTCCGCTTGCACATCTGCACCTGCCTCTGGATCAGGCCCTTGAGCTTCTCACACGTCTCCTCCTCCGAGATGCTCCCCACTGATGACAGCTTGGCCAGGTACCTGGGAAACGGGTGGAATGTGTTATAGAGCCTGCCTCCTCCTCTGCCCAGGCCGGGCCCCTGGGAGCTGACTTGTCCCAGTGACTGGCCCTGGCTCCCGACTGCTCTCTGGATCCAGCTGTTCTGGTGGGGGACCAAGGGCATGGAAAGTCTGTCTTCCACAAAAAGGCCTCCATCTCAGGTTAGGCAAAGCAGGCAGCAGCAGCAGGGGAGAAGTTGACAGAGCCCTCAGGGGATCCCTCCGTGCCCTGGTGGCCCCTATACCAGTACCTGTGCCCCAGACATTGCCCCAGGTCTGGCCATGGGCTCCAGCTGTTTCTGGTCAAGATGCCCTTAGCTGGAGGCTGGAGCTGCTGTCTTCTCTGGGCCTCCCTTTCCCCATCCTGGGCAGGACCCCCAGTGTTCTCAAGCAAGTGCCGGAGCCAACTTCAATCCTTCAAACCTGTGAGCCTTCCTTCTGCCTGTCCTCCCAGTGGCATTTGAGGGGCCCAGGAAGGCTCCATCTCAGCTAAGGACAGACCCTCTGCACTTAGTAAGTGCTCAGCGAATGAGGGAACTCACATTCACTGAATTCTTACTATGTTCAGAGAGGTGAGGTGACTGGCTCAAGGTCATCCAGCTCTTAGGGGCCCAGAGGCTTGTGCTCTAACCACTGCCCTCCAGCCTGCCCCCACCCTTCCACCAACACTCCTGGCCAGGCCAAGTGTGCCTTGCAGGTGGTCAGGTGGCAGCCTGACTGGGAGGAAAGCCTCCCTCTCCTGTAGATAGGCCTTCCCTATCTTCAAGTGGAGATAGTGGTTTCTATTCCAGAGAGCTGCTGTGAGGAACAGATGTGATTTGATGTGGGGATGACCCGACCAGGTGCCAGGTCACTGTGAGGATCTGTCCCTTCTTGGAAGCATGGGTGGGCAAGTGGGAAGTGGGTGATCTCAGGCTGAGGCAGTCCAACCCGCTCCCCCCGACCACTGTTTTTCTTGTCTCCCAAGGGCCTCCCTGTCTCTCTCTCTCTTCTCTACCTGCTCCTGTCCAGGGATGCACAGAGATTGGCAGTGTCCTTCCCGGGAGCCTGTGACCCTGAGGGGGAGACAAGGGTGAGAGGTGGCTGAGGGGCAGAGGAAGCTGCACCTTGAGGGGAAGGCACCCACCCACCTCCTCAGCCCCCCTGGGAAGGGCTTGCCTATGGAGCTAGTCACACCTGCTGCTCTTGGCCTGCAGGGGGCGCCAAGAGTCCAGCTACTGGCGATAGGCCAGGTCCATGTTTGGGAGCCCATGGGTATCCCTCAGTGGGGGATGAGGTGTTGACCTTATGTTGGATCCTTTCCTGCACAGACCCAGGTTTGGCCTCTTAGAGGAGAATGGGGCCCCTATTCCCTCTGGGACATGAGGCACAGAGCTGGCCCATCTCCAACTTGACCTATATTCCCTCTGCATCTGGCCAAGGTGCTAGGTCTGGCTGTGCTGGGCCCTGGCTTCTGGTGAAGGGAGATGTCCAAGGGCAGGGGACCTCCAGGCAGGGGGAGCAGACTTGGGTGCTTGGCTAAGCCCCCTACCCACTGTGACCTTGGGCAAGCCCCCTACTCCCATTCAAAGCCTGTGTCCTCATCTGTATAACAAACTAGACAGACCTTTCTCACTGTCAGAGTTGGGGGGGGGGTGTCTTCTTCCTCTGGGCTGATAGATAGAGTCCCTGCCATTGAACAGGAGTGAGATGGACCCGGGAAGCTGCCTGCCCTGCCCTAGGCTCAGAGCACAGCGAGGGGAGTCAGGCTGAATGACAGTCGCAGGGGCTTAGGATGAACTGCTGGGCTGCCGTGGCCGTGAGTCACTGGGCCAGCTTCCAGGAAGGAGCTGAGCAACCTCTTCCGTTGGCACCAGTGCCCACCTCCCGCCCCGCCTTCATCTGGCATGACAGCTGTCCCCTTCCGTACACTTGCACCCAGCCCCACCCATACCCCTACTCCCCCAGACCCCAGGGTCTTGCCTGGGAAGGGCTGGGAGCCAGAGGAGAAAGTTAGGACCACAGGCACTGCAGGCATCATAGGCCCTTGCCCACACATTTTCTGTTTGCTGGGCCTGGTACCAGTGCCTGGCCATTGCACAGATGAGCAGGCTGAGGCCTGCAGAGGAGAATCAATGTGCTGCAAGTCCCCCAGCTAAGTGGCAAGCTGCAGTGCAGCCCGACTGACTCTCAGATGCCTTCCTTTCTACCTAGCTGTGGATCTGCCCAGTTTGCTGGTGAGGGGGACAGACACTACTCTCAGTGTCACATCTGGCCTGTGGCCTCTTAAGTGCCTCACACAGGGCATGATGCATAGGTGTTTAATAAATGCTCCTGGCATGGATGGAGGGTACTGTCCTACAGAGGTCCCCTCTGTTCACCTCCTGATGGAGTGCTCAGGGCAGGGAAGATGGGTGAGCGGGGGAGGAGAGGGCTGCCTTGTTTTTCAGTTTGCTGAGGGCTTGGAGACCTGTTGGGGTGAGGATGCATCAGGAAGCTTCTCCGAGGGCCCAATCTTTTCCTCAGAGACATGGGTGCTACTTGCTGACCCTCAAACTGGGCTAGGCTCAAATGTCAACTGCACAAGCCATCCCTGGGGGTGACAAAGAGTAAGGGCGTGATGGTGTGCCAGACCCAGCCTGTGGAGGGCCTTGACCATCGCTGCTGCTTCTCTTGTCCTGGTCGCACTGCCCCAATTTAGGCTTCTTCCTGCAATCTCTGAGCACAGGCTTAGTGATTTGCCACCTGCTGCCCTGGCCACCCCAGCCTCTAGCCACAGCCATGCCATCGATTAAGTTACCCCACCAGCCCAGGCCTCCACTGCCAGCTCGTGCCCCGATCTTCTCAAATGGGGGCTGCAGGTCATTCAGGCTCTTCCCAGCAGGCCCTCCCTGGCCCGGCCCGTGCCTGCAGCCTGCAAGGCTGGAGGGCCCTGGCCCTGCCAGGGAGATCAGATCCTCTCAGCCACCTGCTGTTTTCATTAGAAACTAAAATTAGCTGGGCTTGTCCCAAGCTTTCCCAGGTTTGCTTGCTTTTTAAAAAAAATATACAAATTCCTAGAGGAAAATCTGCACCTCTGCCACTCCTCTCAGCTCTTACTCTGCACGTCAAGAGGAGAGGGGACGGGAAATAGCTGGAGCGTTTGAGAGGCCAAGCAGATCAGTGTCGTGGGTCCTGGCCCCGCGGGTGTCCAGGTGGGGGCTGGGACGCCAGCCCAGGCCTCTCTGCCCCCTCCTTGTGGCCTCTCTGCCTGCCTGGGCCACATTTAGAGCCTCCTCAGGAGCGGTCGTGCCTGCGATACCAGGGAGGAAGGAGGCCAAGTGGGCGTGGGGGGGAGCCGGAAGGAAACGGAGTGTCTGCTGCAGAGAGGGCCGCCTTGGGAGATGCAGCCTGGGTGGAAGGAAAGTAATCACAAACCCCTCCAGGACCATGTCCTTATGGGGATGGGGTTGGTGGGAGAGGTACCCTGTACCCCAAGATCCTTATCACACCAGCACTGGTTTTCAGGTCTTTGAACATTTCTATAATCATAGTCAGTATCCTGCTTTTCTCCCCTCCATCATGCCCCTGCCCCAGAGACCCTTATCCTTCAGCCTAGAAGACACTTGGGACACTGACAGGCTGGGTCAAAGTCCCATCTCTGTTATTTGAAGCAAGTGAGAGGACACCTCTGCACCTCAGTGTGTTCATCTATAAAATGGGGAGACTGGTAGTTCTCACCTCGGGAGGATTAACTGAATTAGATGTGCTCTTATCGTAGCGTCGTTGTAGTTCCTCCTTATCAAGGCGCTTGCCATCACTGTTGTCCTCACTGCCCTCCTCCCAAGGCCTCTCTGCAGTCCCTGGAGCTGCCCCTTCTGCTGATGCCAGACTGGACCAGTGCTGGGTTTTGTGCATTTGGTTTGCCTTTGCTTGGCTCTCTCAGCCCTCTTAGACCTAAGCTCCCAACCTTTTTTTTCAGCTGAGTATATCTGACAAGTGGGACATTCTCCCACTGAGAATAGTGGGTGAGTGACTTCAGTAGCTGTCCTGACTGCAGATATTCGACAATCTCTAGACAGTTTTCAGAGTTAGAGAAGGTGCTTCCTGGTGATTCTGGCCTGTTAGTTGTATGTTGCAAGGGCTGGAAGTACGGGAGGTGGGGTAGGAGTTGTGGCACTGCTAGGAGATCAAGAGCGAGGGACACTGTGGCAGGGACAGTGGCATCCAGGATAAGCTCAGGTGTGCCTTGGGATTTGGAAATTGTGTGTGGGAATAACAGATGACCAGAAGCATGGATCTTGTCTTCCCTAGTCACTTGTGCCATTCAATCAATAGTCACGTGCTTCAGTATGTCCCTATTGCAACAATGTAGGGTTGGCCAGGCGGGTGTCTTGCTCTGCATTTTACAGATGAGAAAACTGAGAGGCTCAAAGAGGTATGTCTCTTTGAGGTCATGCAGCCTGTAGGGTGGTCAGCATTTGAAACCAGGTCATTCGGGTCCCTATGCCTGAAACTGGCTGGTGAGGCTCCAAAGACCTGAGGGAGATGGCCCGATTCTTCCCTGGATGGGTCTTTCTAGAGCTCCATGTCTTTTCTGAACCACAGTGAATGTGTCTAGGCTGCTTTCAGGGGAAAGGGATGCTGGGGAGGGGATGTCACAGTGGTTATATAGCTGCCTGAATGGTGTTGGGACCACGAAAGATGTTGCTGCTGGTGCCTAAGACCCCTGGAGGGGCAGTAAGTGAGGAGGGATCAGCTTTAGAGACACTCGGAGTGGTTTGGCAATAGGAGGTGCTCCTTTACCCCTCTTATTTCCAGTCTTAGTGATCCCTCTCACTTACTGTGAGAACTCTCCTTCTCTCCCTGAGGCAGGTGCAGCTATGGGGGGTGAGTGGGTGTCATATTTAAGGCACTTTCTGACCTCACCTTGCCCCCTAATTTGCCAGCAGAGAGCTGCTCCTTTTCAAAGACCCATCTGATCCTTGTCCCTAGAAAGCCTTTTTTGCCCTGTGGGGCCACTG